GGCACGGGGGGCCGGGAGCTGGCCGCGTGGCTCAGTGTCCCACAGGGCCTGCAGCATCGATGTGCCCGCGTCAGCCCACGGCCCGGGAGAGATTCTGCCACGTTGCTCTCGTGTGAAACGCCGCTTCCGTGGAACCCGGCCAGACGTTCTGTGAACGCTCACGCCGGGCTCGGAACCGCTGGAGTCCGGCTCGTGGGGGTCGCCCACGGCGGGCGCTGTGCAGGCGGGGTGCTGCCCCTCCCGCACCGCCGGGCAGACGTGCCCCTGGAGCGCCGGGTCTCCAGACCGTCCAGCCCCGCCCCGCGTGGGTCAGTGTCGCTGCCTCAGGGGTCACCTGCAGCCTCGGCCCCCGCCCAGTCCCGCGAGTTTCCAAATGCCCGGAGCCAACTCTGCCCGCAGAGAACCGACGTCGGGTCTGCGACCCCGGACTCGAATCACCCTCTCGCTCCACTGTCCAGGAGCCATTTTCATCTGCTCCCTCCATCCTTCCCTCGTCCTCCGAAGGCCGTTCAGCCACGGATGGAGCCCGGACGCCCTCTCGGAGTTTCCCAGTGCAGCCGGTGACGGGAAATCCTGCCGTCGCTGCTACAGCCTGTGCCATTGGGGGGCCCTGGACAGACGGGGCGCGACGTGGGGCCTGGCGCGGCCACATCGTTCCGGAGGCTCAGGGGGATCCAGGTCAGGACTACGTAAAACGCTGCTGCGGCTCACGCTCGGCTTAATCCTGGGTGCGACCTTATGCGGTGAGCGTCCCCAAAACCTCAGACCCACACCCGAGGATGGGCCTTGGACACGGGAAAGAAAAGCATGCGTGACAGTGACGCCTGTTAGCACTGGCCTCAGTGTCACCCAGTGACAGGAAGGAGTCGCCGGGCCTCGAGGGTTGCATCAGGTGCAAGGGGACCGCCAAGGGGCCGAGCGGCCGGCCCCAGGTGCCCAGGTGGCTGATGAGGCCCTTTGCTGCCTGCTCACAACCAGACCAAAATCGTGGGGACCTGAGCATACAGTGGGTGGTGTTCTGGGGCCGCCTGTGGACAGGTGGCGCTCACAGGCGCGATCAGCAAGGGACCAGCGTTACAGGGACGGGGGGCGGGGGCGCGTGCGAGGGCGCTACCTGCTGCACGGGTGACGCCCCCTCCAGCACACCCTGGGTGGCTGCACACACCTCCAGTCAGCGAGGGTCTCCTTGGCGGAAGCACAGGTTGGCTCGGGACACAGGAAAGGGCGCACACGGACAGGCGTGTGCTTGCACAAGCCACATGTAAAGCCAGGGGGTTTTGCACGCTGCAGGTGTGCGGCGTGGTTGCCGGGTGCCGTGGCTGGCGTGGTGGGCACGCACGGGCAGGGCAGGGTTCCAGCAGGAGCTGAGCCGCGTGCTGCAGCGCCCTGGGGTGGGGGGCTTGGGGGACCTGGTCTCTCCCTCCTGAGCTGTCACTAAATACTTCAGCCAGAAGGGCGTAGTGCTCCCCACTGAAACCGAGGACCCAGCAGCACCCGGCCAGGGCACCAGTCCACTTCTGTTGAATCCTGTCTCCTTATGGTGAAGACTTGCTAAGTGGGACTGGCGTCCCCTTGCAGGGGACCAGCCTCCCGGCCTGGACGACCGAGCTGCAAAGGCAGGTGGATGACGGGAATGTGTGGCCTCAGGGGTCAGCTGGGTCGGAGGTAGTGCCTGTGCGTTCGTGGGCAGCCTGCATCCTGGAGGCCCCGGTCTCCTCTCTGGGAGGGAGGGAGGGAGGGAGGGAGGGGTGGGGGCAACGCCGGATGAGCAGAGCTGGGGAGGGGCCCGGGGAGCTGTGGCCCCCGGCCATCCCACACTGCCTCCCGCTTCGTAACAAGGCTGGCGACGGTTCTGCTGTTGAGGGTGAGGCAGGAAGCAAGGCCGCAGGCCATCTTGGGCATGGCGGGCGGTCAGCGGTGCCACCAGCCTCTACCCGCTGGACGTCAGTCACACTCACGGTTGTGACAGCCCAGCTGTCCCGTGGCGGGCGGAACCACCTCGGTCAGAAGCACTGGGTTAAGGGGACTGTTTGGTCTTCCTCCGAAGCGGGGGCAGGAGTGAGAGACACCTGCCCTCCCTCCTGCCCCTGTGGGGCCCTGTGGCGTGGACTTGGGGTGAAGAGAGGAACTGAGCTGTGTGAGTCTCAGCTTCCAGATACAAAACGTCTCTTACTGGGATTAGGTGAGAACCTGTATGTGTGTGTGTGTGTGTGAGAGAGAGAGAGAGAGACGATCTCTTGTGTAAATCAGTCCCTGACAGTGAAGGTACAGGGTCCCGGCCGTGTGCTCCCCGCACACACACCCCCCGCCCCCCACCCTCGTCTGGGAAGCCCCTGGAGAACACTTGCGTACAGAGGGGGAGGACGTGACTCTGATGTGTCCAGAACAGACACTGATTAATAACCCAGCGTGAATGTCACAGAAGGGGGCCTCTGGCATGAGGGAACGGGCCGAGCCATGGCCGGGGGTCCTGGCCGTGAGCACATTCATACTGGGCACAGAGCTGCCCATGCGTGTCCAGTTTCCTGTGGCAGGTGCAGGCATCCAGGCATTTGTCCCGTCTGACAAGAGTGTCGCCAGGACAGGCAGCGTCTTCCTGTTTCTGGCGGACCTTAAGCAGCCTGTTCGTGCAGCGCAGGGAATGGCCGAACCAGTCGGGTCTGAGTTCGCTCAGTCCTCGCTGAGGGCTCCCGAGTGCACATGCCAGCGGGAGCCCAGCGGTCACCGCTCAGACCAGCCTCCAGACCCCTGATCGCGGACCCGGCGGTCACCGGTCAGAGCCAGCCTCCAGGTCCCAGACCGCGGACCCGGCGGTCACCGGTCCAAGCCAGCCTCCAGGTCCCTGATCGTGGACCCGGCGGTCACCGGTCCGAGCCAGCCTCCAGGTCCCTGATCGCGGACCCGGCGGTCACCGGTCTGAGCCAGCCTCCAGGTCCCAGACCGCGGATGTCGCTGTTGCTTGGGCAGCTGCATCTGCAGCTTCCTCGGGCCAGGGGCTTCGGGGAGGCTGCGTCCTGGGCAGGGACCAGGGCATGCGGCACCCTCCTCCCTCCAGCTGGACCTTGGTCCTGGCGCTTCTGTAACCCTGGCCCCAGCCGTTCCTCCCTTCCGCCCCTTACATGCTCTCGGCCCCGGGCCGCGTCGCCCAGCCTGCCTGGGCCCCGGTGCTCTCAGTGTGAAATCCGCTTCTCCGTGCGATTGAGAGATTCAGGGCGGATCTCAGCAAGGGCGACTGTTCGTTCCCCAGACGTCCCCCACCCCTGGGGCCCCCGACTCAGCGCTGAGCTCCAGGCACATGGCAACAGAGGCCCCGAGAACGGCTCTGGGAGTGGGGGTCTCGGCCACCACCCGAGCCCCTCTGACCCGGCAGGACTGGGAAGGCCCATGCCGAGTGGTCACAGCAAGGCCCTCCTGGCTCCCAAGCCCCGCTGCTGGCGAGCGGCCGGCCAGGTGCCCGGCTCTGCACAATGGCCGTCGCTGTGACTCACGTTCCCAGGCAACCCAACTACATCCTCTCCCGGGGGGCCCCTCGGCCTCCTTTGGGAACAGGGTCGCTGCAGGCCCTGCCCCTCCCTGGTGCCCACGGCCACTGTACCCTGAACCCCTCCTCCGACTGGCGCCCCAAACCTCCCTCTCCACCTGCAGCCCCGTCCACCCACTACCACGCCCGGTCCCAAACGCGTTGTGGTGTTCCCCAAGTGGAAACGTCCCCCAAAACGAGTCTTGGCCCTGCCTCGAGGACCGAAAGCATCGCCGGGTGGAGGGCGCCTCTGAGAAGGCCGTTACGGGTGGGGCGGAGTGGGCCTCCTGTGCGGTCAGGGTCCCGTCCACGAAATAGGCTCGCGGCCCCACACGCGGCCTCCACGCCCGGTCCCAAACGCGTTGTGGTGTTCCCCAAGTGGAAACGTCCCCCAAAACGAGTCTTGGCCCTGCCTCGAGGACCGAAAGCATCGCCGGGTGGAGGGCGCCTCTGAGAAGGCCGTTACGGGTGGGGCGGAGTGGGCCTCCTGTGCGGTCAGGGTCCCGTCCACGAAATAGGCTCGCGGCCCCTCACACGGCCCCACACGTGGCCCCACATGTGGCCCCGGGAAGGGCCGGTTCCCTGTGTGGAGGGACGTGGGTGTTCCAAAGGACCCGTTAAAGTCCCTAAACTGTGTAAAGGGACATGAGAGCCAGCCCCACCCACGTGAGCAGAGAGATCTGGACGCCCGAATGTGGGGACAGCCAGAGCAGGTCTCCAAGGGAGCCCAGGCCCCAGGGTGTGCGAGCGACAGAGAACCCTGGAGCGTTTGCAGGAGGCACCTCCACAGCGTCCCCACAGCGTCCCCACAGAGCTGAAGGGCCCCGGGTGCTGGCCCCAAGGTCGCCAGGGCGGGGTAGGGTGCCCCGTCGCAGGGCTCCACCCCGCAGTGGCCTGGGGCAGGGCGCATCGCGGCTGTCCGGTCATGTTCCACTGGACAGAAAATTCTGCCAGAAAAAGGCTGAAATGAAGAACACATAGCACATCCTCCAACCCTTACGCCCTGAACCGTGACGCTTACATGTTTTTATAAAATACGTAACTTGACGGAGGTAGCGCTTTGTGTGCGGCCCCACGCGTGCCGCGGTACCGAGGGGCAGTCGTGGTGACGCTGGACCGCGTCTCTCGCACCCTCCGTGGCTCCTGCGCCCACTCGGCCCGTCCTGCTTCTCCTGCAGAAGCTGTACCGGAAGGAGATCAAGCCACCCTTCAAGCCCGCGGTGGGCAGGCCGGAGGACACCTTCCACTTCGACCCCGAGTTCACCGCCCGGACGCCCACAGGTGTGTGCCCGCGTGAGTGGGAGCAAAGCCGTGCTGCTAGCCAGTGGTGGGTCGTCCTGCCTGGCCAGGGAGGGACAGGTGCCCAGGAGGCAGAGAGTCCTGAGTTCGAGAATGCTGTCCTGGAAAATACGGTCAGTTCTGTTTGATTTTCGTATTTTCGCTGCTCAGTCACAAAGGCTTAGGTGATAGAACCAATTCTCGGCTATGCGCCAGGTGACACTCAGCTTGGAAATTGTCCAGGTGTCCTGTGGGTCCCCCCACGCCTCCACCTCTCGGTCAGAGTGGTCAGTCAGGTGACCACCTCTTTCAGAGGGACACACCAAGGCAAGCGCCAGAAAAGGATTTCGAGACTACGAAAATCTCTCATTTAATTAGATTTTGTGAGAAAAAAGAGGCTGTCAGCTAAGCGTATATGTTTGTGAACCACATCTTCATGCAAAAAACAAAAACCAGTATTAGCTACTGGATCTCAGCGTAGCGGACAGATGTACAAACTTAGCCTTCCTGGTCTGTCTAAAATTACTCTCAAGGTCTATCAAATTCAGTCCGATCTGGTCGGCTCCCTTTAAAAGTTATCATTTGTGACCCTGATGAACTGACGTTAACTGTCGTAGGTGTGGTCATTGTCTTAGTCTGCCCAGGCTGCCATGACACAGCGCCACAGGCCGAGCTGCTCCAACAGCGGAGGTCGTCTTGGCGTCTGAGGCGGCTCCCTCCGTGCTCACGGAGACAAAGGCGCTGCTGTGTCTTCTGCTTAGGACGCTGGTGACCCCACTTAACCGTGGTTGGCTTCCGACACGCCCGATCCCAAATACAGTTCCCTGGGGGTTCGGGCTTTGGCATGGGAATTTGGGGGTGCAGTTCAGTCCATGACAGTCACGGTGTGGTGGTTTTTAATAAAGCACATGGACAAGCCCCTGGAGATCCGGGCGGGCCCACCGCAGCCCGTCGCGGTTAGTGGCCACTTCGTGTGGTGCGGGGCTCTTACTGCTTCTGAATCTGAAATGAGTTGTGATGTTTGGAAGGTAATCGTGAAACAGATGGGTGGTCGAGTACAAAATACCACGTGGATACAGTTGGGACTGAGGATCCACTCGTCCCTTTGGTTTGGGCTATGGGGACAAGCCCGTTTCCCACCCACGGTGAGCATGTCAGTGGGGCTGTGAGCGGACGGGAGCCTCGCGGCTCTCGTGGGACTCAGAAGGGGCGGGCGGGGGGCCCACTGAGCAGCTGCGGCTCCCACAGGGAGGACGCTGCTTCTGGGCGCCACGGGGAGTCACCACACGGAGCTTTCGCCGAGTTCTTTCAGCTAAAGCTGGTCTAGCGTCCCCGGTCACACACCAGCCGCCCACTGGAACACACTGACTAGGGGGCGGGGCCAGTCTAAGATCGAAAAACCGTCAGCTATTTTGCACAAGTCAGAAAATACTCATGGGATCAACAAAAATTGATTGTACTCTTAAATTTTCTTTTATCCAGTCTGTATTTCTTACCCTTTTTAAGTATAGCGCTAAAAATCAGCATCCCCCAGATGATTGTAAAGCACTTTAAATGCCCGCCATGCCATCCGTCACTGTGCCCGACTAGCCGCGGCGCCAAATGTGAGCTGTCTGCCCTTTCGCTCAGGGAAGTCACAGTCGAAGGGAATTACTTGTCACTCTCCTGCCCCCTGGCCAGGAGCACCTCTCACAGCTGGTCCTTGAATAGCAGATTCGCTGGCGCTGCCGCTGCCCACAGCCCGGCAGACGGGACAGCAGGCGGGGCAGGACCAGTCCCTCATCCCCACCGCTCCCCTCCCCGGGGTCCCTCCCTGTGCCAGGCGCCTG